CAACTCTTAGAATATAACTAAATCTATATTTTTCTTACATTTTTACTGATTCCCTCAGATGAGCTTTATAACATGTAAAATATAATTCATGAGGATGTTTGAGGGCAATTATAGTTTTTTTGTACACTTTAAAAGAATGGAGAAAATGCCTCATAAAGTGAGAGACTTTGTAATGACTCAATCAGTGAAAAGGTGTAACTCCTGAGGGATGCAAATAATCACCTTATATGTGGACACATATGGTATTATGTTCCAATAAGCAATAGGTTAGTGTTTGGTACATGGGACACAGATGAACCAAGTAGACATGGGGTTTTATCCTCATAGAGTTTGTACCACAGAGGGATGTTAGCAGTTAAAAGTGTAGTGGATGTTACAAATAAGAAAATAAGGTTGTTGAGATTAGGAGCAAGAGAGGAGTACTTTAAGAATATAGACTAGCGTATTCAACTGTCCTGAGGTGAGAGGGAACTGAAAGAAGACTAGAATTCTTGGAAGAAAGAGATAGAAAAGAAAAGTGATTTGAAATGATGCTGGGATTGTAAGCAAGATTATGAAGGGCCATACACTGGTTAAGGATTTTGTACTTTATGCATCGAAGAATTTTAACAGATCTGCATGTAAAAAACATATTTTCTCAGGTATATCGAAAGGATATTAGTAAAGGACAAAAGTGAGTTCAGTGAGGCCAGGTAGGAGACTATTGTATTCTCAAGAAGCAATTGTGGGAAAGATAACTGGGAAATGCCTGGTTTTGAGAGGTATTTTGGAAGTATAATTGGTAAGACTTGGTAATTGTTTGATAGGAGAGGGGAAAGAGTGAAGAGTCATGTAACCAGCTTGGTTTCTAGCTTGAATAATTGAGTCCCTTTCAATGATAAGAAACATTTGAAAAGTAGTGGGTTTGAATTGCTACATATCATTGTGGATGTATTAGTTTGAAGTATCTGTGCGACCTCAAAGAGGAGATGACAAGTGGCTACCTGGATATATATGTATAAGAATAAGGAGAAAATTCTGGGCCGAATATAGACTTGGAATCATCTGTATATAGATGATTATTGGAGCCACAGAAGTGGAAGAATTTCCTTAAGGAGAATATTCAGACTGAGAAAAGAAAAGAACATATGACAGAGCCTAAGGTGGTCCAGTATTGAAGAAGGGTACATTAAACAACAGAAGTAATCAGAACAGACTTCAAGGAGTGAGCAGAGAAATAGAAGGAATCAGGAGGGCTAGCCTTCAAATCTTGGCTCCAGCCAGTTAGAGCTAAATAACCCTTGACAAGCTACTTAAGTTTTCTATGTTGTTTTCTCAACCATAAAAAAAGTACTTTCATACCAACTAGTCTTATAAATTTGTTCTGAGAATGATGTCAGAATGATGTCAGGTGATTGTAAAGCATATGATATGTGTTGTACATACAATATTATATATGGGATATATTAAAATTCTAGTTATAAATAATAATTGATTAAATAACTGGATCATTTTATGCAGACTAAAGCTTCTCCTTGAGATCAGGACCACCTCTTACTCATCCTAGAGCCTAGCAAAAGATAAAAACAATGCAATGGATTATCTTTCATAATTCATCAAGTGGCTCTACTGACAGTTCCAGATGCTGAGCAATAGCATGACTAAATGTGAAGCCTCAGCAAATCATTACAGTATAACAATACTTCATTAGGGGAAAGTATAAATGTATCTATAATAAAGAATAGTGTAAGTGTAACTAAATAATAACCTCATGTAAGGGTAAAGTATTAAAGTTACTATTAAAGACAGCAACAATCCAGAAAGTAAATGCTTTCAGCAAATTCATGAGTTCTTGATTACAAAGCACTGAGATAATTATGCCCACTTGCATTATAGTCATTTATTCATTAAATGCTGAATAATCTGTGTCTTTTCAAAGGATTGGGAGACCCTGCTTGCTTTTATGTTGGTGTGATTTTTATTTTAAATGGACTAATGATGGGCTTGTTCTTCATATATGGTGCATACCTGAGGTAAGACTACTGAATTAAAAGATCTTTCAGCGGGCTTGTAAGGACTAACTGATATTTGTTGATTGGATTAAAATGATGATTATGAGATTAGTTGATTAATAGTTGGAAATTTTGTGGATTTATTTGATTTTTCAGAAGCTTAACTAATATGTAACCAGAAACTGGAGCTGTCACTAATATCTTAAAGGCCTCCTTTTATCGTTGCAGTGATATTTTTTTAACTAATTAAGATTTCTTAACAAAGGTTTTAATGAAAATATTTCTAGTTTCATGTGTAAAATTATTAAAACATTAGAGGGGATCCTTGGTTGGCATTAGTAGCAAGATTATTTCTAATTGTACCCTCTGTAAAGGTGAAATTAGGAAAGCAGTACAAGAAACTGTATATCTTGTGGCAGACACTTGGATTTGCTAGCTTATCCTTCTTGATAACAGTACCTCAATTTTATTTGCAGAAACAGTGCAACAGTCTCAGATGATACGTTGAAATTAATTACGATGGTCACATATTTTGCTCCCATACTCCATTGCTCTTTGGGATAGTTGTATGAGCTAGCTTTTGCCAATGAAAAATAATGTGAAGTCACCTTTGGTTACACCTAGGAAAGCATTTGCCTTTCTCACAAAAGGACAGAATTAGCTACCCTTCTCTGTTTCATCCTGCTTTTACTTGGTTGTGATGCCCAGAGCTGCAGCAGTTATCTTGTGACCATGAGGGAGTATTTGTGCTGCTGAACCAATGCCAACATTTGTCTTTCATTTTCCCATTGAATAATATAATAAATATCTATATTGTTGAAGCTACCTTTGTTAAGTTTTCTGTTTCTTTCAGTGAAACATATTCTCAACTGAATCATCACCTTTCTTTACAATGTTATTTTTGAACAGCACCACAACATATAAAGTTAAAAAGTCTCTATTTAAACTTCCAACAAGTATTTATTAAATTTTCATAGGACTTATGTCACCGTAGAGATTTATAAATGTATATACCCCTTGTTTTAGGAAGTTTCTGGCATAAAAAAACTAGCATGGAATCAATAAAAACTAGTGATATATTAAATATTGTACCAGGGACCATCCTGTCCAGCACTGTAAAGTAAAAAAAAAAGTAATAAGGATTGAAAACTTGAAAAAAAGAGAAACAAGTGTTCTTTTTTTTTTTTTATTATTTCAGCATGTTATGGGGGTACAGATGATTAGGTTATTATGATGCCCTTACCCTCCCTCTCCCCCAAGTCCGAGCTTCAAGTGTGTCCATTCCCCCGGAGGTGCGCATCGCACTGTTTGTGCATATGCCCGTCCCCTCCTCCCCCTCCCCCTGCCCAACATCTAATACATGTTATTCTTATATGTGCACTTAAATGTTGATCATCTAATACCAGTTTGATGGTGAGTACATGTGGTGCTTGTTTTTCCATTCTTGGGATACCTCGCTTAGTAGAATGTGTTCCAGCGCTTTCCAGGAGTATGTAAGAGGTGTTATATCACCATTGTTTCTTAAAGCTGAATAGTACTCCATGGTATACATATACCACATTTTATTAATCCACTCATGTATTGATGGACACTTGGGTTGTTTCCACATCTTTGCAATTGTGAATTGTGCTGCTATGAACATTCGAGTACAGGTGTCTTTTTCATAGAGCCACTTTTGCTCTTTTGGGTAGATGCCCAGTAATGGGATTGCTGGATCAAATGGTAGTTCTACTTGTATCTCTTTAAGGTATCTCCATATTGCTTTCCACAGAGGTTGCACAAATTTGCAGTCCCACCAGCAGTGTATGAGTGTTCCTACCTCTCCACATCCACGCCAACATTTATTGTTTTGGGTCTTTTTGATAAAGGGCAGTCTCACTGGAGATAGGTGATATCTCATTGTGGTTTTGATTGAAACAAGTGTTCTTAAAAGTAGATCACAATGTATTTGTAGAAAATTTAAAAAGTCTATAGATAAGGTATTTGAAATAAGAAAATTTACAATGTTATCAGATGTAAAATTAGTACACTGAAATTATAAATTCTATACTCTAGTAGCATCAAACAAAATGAAATTTTAAAAGAATGCCACTTAGAATAGTCTGAAAAGCATGAAGTTACTAAGAATAAATCTAACAAAAGATATTTATGACCTGTATGGTAAAATTGTTAAAATTTAATACATTTAGTAAAATCTAAATAAATGGAGACAGATGCCATGTTCATGGATTGAAAACTCAATATTAAAAAGATGACAATTATCCCCAAATTGGTTTATAGTTCAGTGCTCTACCAATAAAAATTCCAACACGTTTTTTGTTGACCAGAAGTAGAAATGTACTTAAAGAGACTTAATATATGACAGAGTGGATATTGCATATTGGTAGGTAAAGATAGGCTTCTTAATAAATGGTGCTGGAACAATTAGGACATCGTATTTAATGAAGAGAAATTGGAGCTATATGAATAATCTCAGTTATGTTAAACACTCAAGTATGAAAGACAAATTTATAAATGTTTAGTATATAATATAGGAGAATATCATCAGTAACTTGGAATAAGAAAGAATTTCTTAAACAAGATTCAAAAATCCAGCCATGAAGAAAAATTGTTAAAACTGATAAATTTGATGAAAAGAACTTCAGTTCTTCAAAAGACACTATTGCATTAAAAATATGTCACAAAATGAGAGAAGACATTTGCACAGTATATTCCCAACATAGTATGTAGAAATTCCATTCATTAGTTTGACAAATATTTATTGAAAGCTTGTCGTGACCAGGAGCACTGTTTTAAGTGCTTGGAATACAAAACAGACAATCTCTGTCCTCATGAAATTTACATTCTAGCAGGAATACAAAGGCAAACAAGACAGACAACATGACAGAAAAATGGACAAAATATTTATGAACAGACATTTCCCAGAAGAAGAACTCCAGATGGGCAATAAACATACATAAAGTTGACTACCATCATTAGTTATGTGAAAAATACCAATTTAAACCAGAAAGAAATACAATCTCACATCTAACAGATTAGTAAGGGAGTTTTCATCTATCACAGGTAGACATATAAATTAGTACAACTATTTTGGAAAACAACATGTGTTGTCTAGCAAAGTTGAAGGTGTAGATACCTTATAACTCAGTAATTCTAATTTAAAGTATGTAATCCCAAGAAACTCTTGCACAGCAGGAAACATGCAGAAGAATATAGCAGCATTATTTGCAATAACTTCAAACTGGAAACAACCTAAATGTTTATTAACAGAGAAATGAATACATTTTGTTTTATTAACATGGTGGAATACCATACAACAATAAGAATAAATGAACTACACAGATACACACATCAACATGGATGAATCTTACAAATTTAATTTTGAGTTAAATGAATATGGGTACAAAATTTTAAAAATACTGCATACTTCCACTTGTATAAAGTTTACAAAGAGATGAAAGTAAATCATAGCTTGAATGTATATAGAGGTGCTCATATTGATAATATCAAAAATCAGGATAGTGGCTGTCTCTTGGGATGGAGAGTGGAGACTCAGGGTGCATTCATTTCTCCATTTCAACTAATTATATGGTGGCTACGTGAATGTTCAGTTCATAATTGTTCCATAAGCTAGAAATTTTATGCACTTTTCTATATGCCATATAGGAAAATTTATATATATAAGCTCAGTAAAGTATTTTGAGGAAACAGGATGCTTTGAGATTATTTTGGCAGGCTTAAAAATGTTCTGTTTTTGAAAATAGTTTGTATTTCTTATACAAACTGTTTTTGGTTTTTAATGTGGAAAATGTTATACAACAGTAACTGAAACTTTTTAAAATCAGTATTTTTTATTGGAAGAGCTACCCAAGAGGTGATTAGTCTCTCTAAATTGGTTACAGAGTTCTGGAATATCAAATACATCGTTAGGCTCTAGTCTTTAAGAAAGATATGTACATATACAAATATCAAAGTGTCACCAAAACTGTGAGGAGACTGGAAAGTGTGGCATATAAAAAACAAAAGCAGTAGGAATGGAGGGGGAAGGGGGAATTTTGTATTTCTTACCCTGACCACCCTCCCCCACTGGCACTAACTTGGAAGGTAGATATTCTATTTCTGTCCTTTTGGTGGTTAACGCTAAAATAGTAACATACACATCCAATTTGATCAAGTCTAAAATGACCACAAGGAATTTTAGAGTGCTTTACTTCAAAATATCCTCTCCCATCTTAGGTGTTATTACCAGGTTAGTACTCCTCCTGTTACCCTTAACAGCTGCCATGGTTATTCTTGGTTTTTGTTGTCAAGTCTTGTTTAGATTTATCCACATGTTCTCAGTTCCTGTGTGTACAGTTGGTCCTTGCTTCTCACACCTTCCTTCTTTCAATTTCTTCTTTTTTGAAATGCATCCTTTGAATTTCCTTTAGAGGTAATCTATCAATGATAAATCACTTCCCATTAGCTTTCTTCTGCTTGTTTTTTAAAACTCATTCCTTCCTTTCTTCATTCATTCAACCAGTATTTATAGTCTTCCAAGTGTGAAGCTGGGCATACAGTGATGAACAAGACAGATGAAGAATCTGCCTGCATGGTGCTTAGAATGTGGTAGATTATGGAAAGTGAGGCATGAGGCAGTGTATAGGGAGGCATGGAAACACTACACAAATGTGGTTTGGAGCATCTGTGTTTTCATACACACCCACTCAGACACACACCATCACAAAAACGCAACTGAAGAAATGGTTCTTACTCTTTGATGATTAATATTAGTCATCTTTGTTCTGATTTTTATATTCTACACTATTGCTTCTTTGGGACCCAACAAAAGAATATTTGCAATAGTTTGGACAGTTCCAAGTTACTGCTAAATGAAACTTGTTAGACTCTTCATCTCTCATTCATTTACATCTAATTTCAAAAGACAAAAATTTATCTTCAGAATATTTACATTCTTTGTGAATATTTTGAAGTGCTAGCCTGTTAAAAATCATCTTATATTCACACATTATATATTTTATTTATAAAATATTTTAGATATAATAGATTATAAAATTAAGATTACTTTATATGTACACTTTGGTTGTACATTTAGGATTTAAACATCAACTACATGGGTACTTTTGAAATTTTTACTAACATGGTTTAATACTGTAATGCTTTCAATATATAACAATATGATTTTAAATTATGAGATAATTTTGTGAACAAGTCACTATATATGAATTATGATTTTATGTTTTGTATGCTTTTTATTTTTTTACAGTGGGACTCAACTAGGTGGTCTGATCACAGTACTGTGCTACTTTTTCAACCATGGAGAGGTTTGTTTTCTAGAAAGTAATTTTTAAGAAATGGAAGGGGCTGTATAAGAACAAGGAAATATACTTATCAAAACAATATATAATTGCACATTACTTATGACTTCACAGTATTTTAAAGAAACTGTGTTGTGAGTTGAGATTTTAATTATGTTGATCTAAATTTTTAAATAACTAGAATTTAAAACATGAAATGTCTTGCCGGGTTTTTAGTAAATATATACTTTACGTATACACATATTCTATAGAAAAAAGGAAATACTGTACTTGCTGAGTTTGAGCACTTTACATATATTGTCTCATTTACTCCTACCAGACATTTTATGGGGGTGATTGTTATCCTCACCATACAAGGTACGAAATTGAAATTTAGAAAGATTAAGTTTCTTATCCAGAATTCCACATTCACTACCTGATGAAGCTGGATTTCCCATTCTGCAGCTGTCTGGCCCTAAAACCTAAATATTTAACTTTTAAAAAATGGTGGTAAGAACGCTTAACATGAAATCTGTCCTCTTAACAGATTTTTAAGTGTATAATACAATATTGTTAATACAGTATTGAACAGCCGATCTTTAGAAATTAGTCATCTTGCCTAACTGAAACTTCATACCCATTGAACTCCCTTTAACAAGGATGGAAGAGGCCCTGATGATAGGCATACAGTTAAGGCATTTCCACCTGCTCCCTCGCTTCTTTCTATTACATTGTGCTGCCTGTTAAATAACACAAAATGCTGAATTCAAAATGGAAATTAACTTAACTAATTCAGCCCAGTGGGTTGTGGTCCACCTAAAAAGAGCTTGTAGAAACTTATTTTGAATGCAATGGATGTATTTAACAAAATTATGGGTACATAAGATGTGCCATACTCTTTCTGTTAGATGCTGAGAATATGACAGTGAAAAAGAGAGAGAATCTGACTGCTAGCTTTTGGAAGCAAAATATTAATATGTTATGGCACAGGTTATATAGGATAGAAGTCTTTTTATCTGTTACTGTTGGGTTAAGTTTTAAAAGTCAGCTAGACAAAGGAGTCTTAAAAATTATACATGAAGTGCCTTAAATATATTATTTTAACTTAAACAAATGCGTTGTCATTCAGCAATGTGTTGATATAAAGACAAGCCTTTTTCTTTCAGTATGCCAGACAACTGGCATAGTTCATCTTCCAACGTTTACTATTTTAGTTTCTTGGAAGAGAAGCAATAAATTTTAAGACTTTTATGAAGTAATAAGAGTTTGGATTCTTTCTAGAATTTTTGATAGAAAACTTTTATGAATACTCTGACCCATATATATTAGCAATAAATTTAATGAAAATTTAATGAATACTTTTATTACATCTATCACATTTATTATTCCCAGATATTTCTAGTTGTTTTCAAATTTTATAGTTAACCCTTTAGAAGGTAAATTTTGCAAATTCAGAGGCAATCTTAACTACTTGTAATGTGTATCTATACTCAGTTGAACTTGTTATGTATAAACTCTGTTGATGTTTACGAATGCCTTAGGTAACATTTGTGTAAGTATTTTTCTGGGCATGTATATGTCCCAAAGCCTGGGTTGACAGGGTCATACCTGCCAGGCTGGAATGTGGATCTGGTTTGTCAGTCTTGGCATCCTCACAGCCCCTATACCTACCAGCTTGTTTGTCCCTGGGGTTTTCTTTTGCTTGGTCTGGTGTATCTTACACTTGTTTTTGGAATTAATCATCACTCTTTACTTAATGGCCCTTAAGGGAGCTCCAAAAACTGAGAAGCTATGCCAGGCACTCAGAAATGGATTTAGTAAGCCTGATATTAAAATTATTAAAACAAATCTGCCACTGGTTTCTAAATTAACAGTGTTTATTATAATAGAACATAATATGAAGTGAGCATTTTATTGATTTCAGGCCACCCGTGTGATGTGGACACCACCTCTCCGTGAAAGTTTTTCATATCCATTCCTTGTACTTCAGATGTATGTTTTAACTTTGATTCTCAGGTAATTTTGATTCATCACAAAAGATTAAGTTATAAGTTAAGTTTATTAAAATATGCTTCAACGTATTAAGTTATAATTCCAAACTTAGGCTATTATTTTAATTATTTTAAAAATAAAGTTATGAAGAGTATACAGTTAAAAAATACTTAAAATTGATATGTAAAAATTGCTTTCCACTTAAGAGTCTAGACTATAGGTTTGAGATAACTGTAGGTTATATAACTATAGGTTTGAGATATACCATGTTTTAATAAAATGTATGTGTTCTTACATAGTTTGCAAAGATTTGAAGGTTTTTGAGAAACATTTACTTTTTTTCTTCAAAGTTTATGTACTCTTACTCACTGTTTTCCAACCTTTGAGTTTAATGAAGCATAAATGAATGTGCCATGAAAAAAAGTGCTGTAAGTGAAATAAACTTGGGAAATGCTGGGTTAGATGGATAAAGGAGTATATGTATATATATTCACATATTTGTGAAGCTCTGCTGGGCAACTGATGTTTCTAGCAGTTCAACCAGAGTTTCATCTCAACTGTTCTTTTGACACATTTTTTGTTGGGAGTCAGTTTGTAAGCATTTCAGAGGTTTAAGAAGTCTGAGAAAAAAAACAAAAAAAACCATGCAAGTATTAGAATACTATAAAATAACTTTATCATAGAAATAAGTTTCATAGAATGCTAGTAAGATCGCTCATTGAATGCAACAGTGGTCCCTGTCTCCTCCAAACTCCTGAGGAATCTTGTACTTTACTTACTAGTTAGTCCCTGGCAGATTTTGCCTTACCTGAAAATCATTTGTGTATGTATCATCTTTCTTGAAAGTGTAAATTTGTAATCATTCACACACACAAATATCTACGTATACACTTACATATATTTAAAAGTAGTACTGGAAACAGGGACCATGCGGTATTTATCTCTTTAACCACAGAGCACTTCACACACTGCCATGTAGGTATTTGTGGCACTGATATGAAGCTGATTGAATGAAGGTAAATAGTGGCATATTGGGGTGACTACATACCTTGAGAAAGGAGCAAGCTAATTCCTGATTTGTTATCACCTGACAGGTATATTTTGAGATTGAATTTGGATTTGGGAATCTGCTCCCCATTGAAATTTTGATATCTTTGCTCTACACATTGCCTTCTCTCAAAGATTATGGTGAAGGAGGCTACCCATTCTCCTTGCACCCCATTCATTCCCAGTTAAATTCCTCAGAAGATGGGTTATTTTTCATTTTTTTTTTTTTGAGGTGGATTAGTCTGGCCAGTCAGTGGTTTCATGGTATGCAATGTCTTAATTAGAATATTTAGGATTGTGTTCTTGAGGGCATGTGCTATACTCCGAACCTTAGTCAAAACTAATTTTTGTTTGATAAAATACAAGATTACTGAGTGCTTAGTGAATATTTTGTGATAATATTACTAAACAATATGAACATTTAAAATTTTGCTTTTGACAACTTATATACTGTTTTGTAAGGATTTATCAAAGTCTAATGCAATCTTTATAAAAAGAACAGTTATA